GGTAGTATGAGAGTACTTCAAAAAGTCCATGGAAAGATTCATATGATCTTTTAATTTTGTTTTTCCACAAACTTTTTGTGTATATTTACCACATTTTCTTTATTCTTTAATCCACTGATGGACACAGATTGATTTTATATCTTTGCTATTGTGAATAGTGCTTCAATAAACATGGGAGTACAGATATCTCTTTAAAATACTGATTTCATTTTATTTGAATATATACCCAGTGGTAGGATTGCTGGATCATATAGTAGTTCCCTTCCCACCTTTTTTTTAAAGAATCTCCATTGTGTTTTCCATAATGGCTATACTAATTTTCATTTCCACCAACAGTGTACAAGGGTTTCCTTTTCTCCATATCCTTGCCAACATTTGTTATCTTTTAACTTTTTGATAATAGCCATTCTATTGCTACCTCATTGTGAGGTGATATTGTGGTTTTAATTTTAATTTCCTTGGTAATTATTGATGTTATGCATATTTTTATACACCTGTTGACCATTTGTATATCTTCTTCTAAGAAGTGTCTACTCATGTACTTTGCCCATTTTTTGATTGAATTATTTGTTTTCTTGCTATTGAGTTGTGAGTTTCTTTATATATTTTGAATATTAAGCCCTTATCAGATGTATGGTTTTGCAAATATTTTCTCCAATTTCTGCATACTGTCTCTTCGCTCTGTTGATTGTTCTTTAGGTGTGCAGAAGCTTTTTAGTTTGATATAATCCCATTTGTTTACTTTTGCTTTTCTTGTCTGTGCTTTTGGAGTCATATCCAAAAGATTATGGCCCAGACCAAGTCATGAAGACTTTCCACTCTGTTTTCTTCTAGTAGTCTAGTAGTTTTAAAGTATTGGGTCTTCATTTAAGTCTTCAAAGCATTTTGAGTTAATTTTTGTATATGGTGTGAGAAAGGGGTCTAACTTCATTCTTTTGCATATGGACATCCAGTTTTCTCACTAACACCAATAAGAGACTGTCCTTTCACAATTTTGTCCTCTTGATTCCTTTATCAAAAATCTATTGACCATTTATGTGTGCATTTTTTTCTTGACTTTTTATTCTGTTCCATTGGTCTATGTGTCTGTTTTTATGCTAGTACCATGCTGTTTTGATTACTATAGCCTTATAGTATATTATGAGGTCTGGTAGGATGATACCTCTGGCTTTTTCTTTCTGTTCAAGATTGCTTTGGCTACTGGGGTCTTTTATGGTTTTAAATAAATTTTGGGATTGTATTTTCTATTTCTGTGAAAAATGACATTGAAATTTTGATAGGGATTGCATTGAATCTGTAAATCACTTTGGGCCATTTGGACATTTTGACAGTATTAATTTTTCCAATCCATGAACACAGGATATCTTTCCATTTATTTGCATCTACTTCAATTTCTTTTGTCAACATTTTATAGTTTTTAGTGTACAGATCTTCTTGGTTAAATTAATTCTTAGGTATTTTTTGATAGCTACTGTAAATTAGATTTTTTCCTTGATTTCTTTTTCTACAATACTTGCAACTTTTCTATGAGTTTGAAAATATTTCAAAATAACTTTTTTTTAAGTTGAATGAAAACCTAACAGTTCTTCACTGATAAACTACAAAACTTGGGAAAAAGAGAAGTCAAAGATGGCTCAATACCTGGTAAGATTTCACTAAAAGAAAATAAGGAGTAAGGAAAGATCTAGAGATGATGTGTTGAGGAACCTGCAGATGCCCACTTGAGGAATTATATTAGCCAAGGATAAATTTGAGCCTGGCACTGATGGGTAAAGGATGACTCATACATCTGTGGAGAGCTACAGAGATATGCAAGATAATGTCAAGGAACTATAAACTGTGTGAGTAGCAAAACCCCTCCCTGGGTGAGAAGGTAGATTGAAGATGGAAGATGACTGGGTCTAAAAAACACTAGAATTTTAAGCATGGTTGAAGGAATAAAGATAAACAAAGAAAACTGAGATGAAGCAGCCAGAGGAAATGGTGAAAAAACAGGAACAATCAATGGAAATCATGAGAGGAGAAGTTTCAGGAAGCATCATTGGTATTGAATACTATGAAGAGGCAAAAAAGCTAAAACTGCAAAGCGTTTATAGCTGGGGTGTTTATATGTGGTCATTAGTCACCTTGGTAGGAGGAGCTTCAGGGGACCATTTAGATAGAAGCTAGATTGGATGGATGAGAAAATGGATTGAAGTGTAAATGAGGGTGAAAGAACGAATTCAGCATGTAGATATCACTGTTTGAAGAAGCTTGACTTTTTTTTTTTTTTTTTTTTAAAGATGACTGGTAAGGGGATCTCAACCCTTAACTTGGTGTTGTCAGCACCACGCTCTCCAAAGTGAGCAACCGGCCATCCCTATATAGGGATCCGAACCCGTAGCCTTGGTGTTATCAGCACCGCACTCTCCCGAGTGAGCCACAGGCCGGCCCTGAAGCTTGACTTTTCAAGCTTAGGTTGTCAGAGTGAGAAATAGGAAAGTAGGAAGAAAATCATGGGTGAGTTTTTTAAAAAGCTTTAGAAAATGTACACCTTGAGCACATAGCTATGCTATGAGGAGAAGAGTGATTGAAGTGAGGAAAAATATTGATGGAAACATATCACTGAGGAACTGGGAGGCAATAGGAGGCAACAATAAATAGAGGAACTAGCCATTAAGAATAATTAGTCATTCTGGAATTGAAGAAAACAGGGGAAGGGATCAGGACACACATGGGCTGGGATATGAATCCTCCCTGATAGCTTCTGTCTTCTTTGTCATGTAGAAGACAAGACCTTCAGTTGAAACTGGTGTTGAGAGTAATGGGTTGTTGTAGAATTGAGAGAAGTAGGGATGCTTTCAATAACTGTTGTGAAGAATGAGAGAGAGAAATTACTAGAAACAAAATGATGACTGTTGTGCACACTGAGGGTCTAGCTGGGATGGGAGACCATGATGTTGTAGTGGTAACTGTATGCTTTTGGGTTTCCAACAGGTATCATTTAGGAGCCCAGGAACAATTGCTGAGGAAAGTCGTGGCATTGATCCAGATTTGGAGCTTGCTTGGAGAAGGAAGGTATTGGTGGCAAGAGAATGGTTAAGAAATGGATTCATGGGTAGTTTGGTATGGTGTGACAATGAATATGTTGAAAGAAAGGGAAAAGGTCAAGAGACTGAATAACAGCACAGTTAGAGAACAGGGAGGGTGGGGGTGAGAGAAGGAGAAGTGTGGGATGCTGCGGTCACATACGGGAATCCAGAGTTGTGGATTTCAGAAGTTTAATTCTGGGTGTGGATCCATTTCAGTGTCTGGTTTGGCCATTAGTTATTAAAATGGTGTGTAGAGAGGGTCAGGAAACCGTAAGAAGGCAAGTTGGGTGGGTCATCCAGAGGGACATTGATGTTACCCAAATAGCAGAAGAATTCAGGAGTGCATGGAATTTTCAGAGAGGTTTGACCCCACACATATTTAGCATAGATTGGAAGTGGAGGGAGAACAAGATCAGACATGGTGGTTGGGTATTCTACGATACCATGCTTTTCGTAAAGACAACTTATTATTGTTATCATCATCAATTCTAATAGCCATCCATATTCAAATGTGAGTGACAAAGAGCATTACAAAACAAAATGTATATAGCATGGAGATGATCTAGCTTTGTGCCCATCTGAATGATTGAAAATTTATAACGTATTACATTTATAACCAAAAGTAGTTTGTAGAATAACTAATTGTACTTGTAAATGGTTAAGAGGAAAAAGGGCAATGTCTCCATTTCCATTTTCTTGATCAGATCTGACTCTTACCGCGCTTCTGGATGCATTGTGTTTTACATACCCTGAGTGCCAGGGAAAAAAAGAACATGGAAACCTGCTATAAATAGAACAACTTCCAGTTTAAAAGAGTTAGCAATCCCTCAGGGGTACAACAGTATGTGTGGGAATAGAGAAACAAAATGTGGGTCTACATATAGGGTGGCCCCTAGTGTGTGGGATTCTTTTGGGAAGATTGAAAAACAAAAATGGCTTAATGCTTTGTAACTGGCAGGCTACCAAAGGACTTGGGAGTGGTGCTGGGAAAAGGCAAAAAATCTGAGTGGGTGACAGACACAGGGAACAGTAAGGCTAGGGTGGAACACAGATTGCTGGCAAAGATGCAGGTAGAGATTAATCCAGAGATGTCACTGAGGCAGAGTTTTATAGTTGCATGAGGAGTGGAGAACTAAAGAGAGAGAAGACATTCCCAGAGAACCACGGCCACTGTTTGAATAGGAGTAACCAGGTAAGCAGCTCTGGTCGTCATAGCAATGATGGTTCCAGGGCATGGGTTGAGCGTGGCAGCATTTAGAGAGCGTTCTGGGCCTAACTGGTCTTTGGGTAGGCGGGATTCTATGATGCATGTATTGATAACACAGACACTGCACAGAAGTACTAAAAATTAGTACTGACCTCAAGTAAACCCATTTCCCACCTCTGCTGAGTCTGAGCTTCTCCTCTGTCAACAGCTGGACTTTTCTGACCATGTCTCCTGCTAGGAATATTTTTATAAGTGATCTCACTGATAAGATAAGTAAGTAACTACTAGAAGGAGAGATGAAAAGAATGGCTGAGATAAAAAGGGGGTGAAGAGAAAGAATTCACACTGGGGATTCAAAACTTTCTCACTAGAGCAAGTCTCACTGATAGACTTGTTTCTCTGCTGCAATGGTGCTCCGAAATGGGTTTGCTGCTACCCCCGTCCCAGTTACGGCTCAACATCGCTGCCCAGGGCACCTTCTCTTCTGTTTTAGAGCTCATCAGTCTGGTGATTCTGAAAATGCAGATTAATTGGGTAAAAAGTTGAACTTTAAAAATAGTGATGATATGTTGAAGACACTTGGAAACATAACTAGTGGCGAGAAGAAAAAAATATCACCTTTGTACGCTTCAGTGGAAACAGGTGCAAGTCTTTATTCAGATAATGGATTGAACAAGATTCAGGTGTGGAAATAACCTTCTAACACAGGCATTTGCACTTACCTTATGGAAGTCAAACACTTTTTCCACGAACAGACCATTGGCAATGCTGAGATCGTAATCCTTGTGGGATGTCTTTATATTAGAGAGAACTCTGTTCAGTTGAGATTGGATTCTTGGCTGCTATTAAAAAGAAGCATAAAAACGTATTCTTGGACTGCAAAGATATGCATAATCTCATTTACACATGAAATAAAGCATGAATATTATAACGTAAAAGAATTCAAAAATAATGATGCCGTAAAAGGAGCAAAGCCACATATATCTACAGTCTTTTTCTCATAATAACATAATGGTGTATTTGATTAAATCAAAGAATTTACTGAAATAAATAATTAACCTTGGAATAAAATTCTTAATGAAAGATAATAAAGGTGTCTAATATGTGTACTAAATAATTCATTTTACCAATATAAGTTGGTTGTAAATATCAAAGGAAAAAGGTAAAACATTTAGTTCCATGCTATCTTGTCAAAATCTGGCTAATACACGAGTAAAATATTAATAGATTAATAATTAACAACTCATTTATCAAAAATTTAGTGAGGAACATCCATAATCTGGAAATCTGAATGAAATAGGTGCCTTTGCTTAGAAAGGATAGAAAAACATACTTAAATATATTCACAAGAGAGAAATTTTTCTCAATTTAGTCCTACATCCTCTTTCTATATTCTAAAAGAATATATTGTTTTTACCTCATTATTAGAAGAGTTTCCATGTCCTGAGCTGCCATTAAAGTGAAGTATCTGCAGAGAGAACACACGGACAGCAGTCAGAATCAGAGGTTACTAAGGGAACAGTGGGCAAGAGGTAAAAAATAAAAATATTTCTTTTCCAATAAATTTGTCTAATTGTTATTCCAAGTTCACTAGTGTCCTAGAGCTGATTCTCCCCATGACTCCAAATGAACATCAACAGGCTAAAAAGGACAGAAACATGTTCTGGTTTTAATTTTTATTCCACCTTTTTTCCTTTTTCACATCCTTATTTCTCTCACATTCACCAGGATTTTGAAATTTGTGTTAATTTACATAAATGTCACAGCAACATTGCTTCCAACTAAAACATGCTCAGGTGGTAGTGGATCCATACACAGATAACAATGCATCATTGTGCCTCCCTCCTATTTAACACTGAACAAAAAGCATATTTAAGAAGCTGAACTCTACAGTTTTCAATATAGTAAATAAAGTGCTACCACGACCACAACATAACTCAAAATACCTGTAGACTGTTTTGTGACCTATGGAATGAATAAGCCTCCTTTTGAAATAAGTCATCAATTTATGTGTTCGTTTAACTTTTATTTAAGTTCTACTTACTAGATCTGTCCCCCACCTTTTAAAATTTTTTTTGTAATTATGGAGTCACGAAATCCATTGGCATTTCCTACCAATAATTATCTCTAGATTTCTTGAAATTTTATTTTATATAGAAAGCATTAAGTTTTGGGCCGGCCCGGTGGCGCACTGCTATAGTGCGCCGCTTGGGAAGCATGGTGGCGCTCCCGCCGAGGGTTCGGATCCCACATACTGACCGGTTCCCGCTCACTGGCTGAGCGAGGCGCGGGAGCAACACCGAGGGCTGCGATCCCGTTGCCGGTCTCGGTCCGGTACGGGTGCAACACTGAGGGTTGCGATCCGTTGCCGGACACGGAAAAAGACAAAAAAAAAAAAAAAAAAAAGAAAGCATTAAGTTTTACCCCTTCCCTTCCATGCCCCATATCTCATGGAGTTCTCAACATATAGAGCTTCCCCTAATTTTCAAGTTATTGATAGGACAAAACCCATATGTGTTTGTATACATGCCTTACATTACCTAATAGATTTCTCTGAGCACAGATTTCTCTCAGGTTTTCACTAATGTTTCTGTCTTAGTCTTTGTAACTACACATTGTCTCATACAAAAGAGGCACAAAAACAATTTAATTCAGGTGGTCATTTGTATTGACCAAATTTAAAAACTGTATTTTGTGAATCAGACATGATTTTGACTAGGAAAAGATCATATTAGTCTGGTAGAAGATTTTCTCATGGCGATGTAAATGTAATAATGGTTGTGAAATACTTCCTTCCCAAAGTTGATCATTTTCAATGAATCCCACTATCATTGCAGTCACCAACCGCATCACCACCTGCTCTTTGGGTCATTGTGAGATCTTGACTCAATGTCACATTTTGGTGGCTTCTAACAAAAGAAGAGGACTTTTCAGACCCTGCCCACTCTGCTCCTTTCATTCAAGATTATGTTTACAGGGCTTTATAAAATTTAAAATGTTTCACATTTGGAGACTTTTATATTAAATGAGTTCAGTTTAAAGAAAAATCTGTTATATTCATAAAATAATAAAACTGAAAAGCTTAATATTTTTCAGTTTAGAAACTTCCTTACTTATGCTATTAAGTTTAAAAAATTATTGCTGTACCAAGTTGTGTTTTCTGATCAGCTTTAATTCTTTGGAAGTGAATTTTGTTTCAACTGTGAGTGATTATGCATGGCATGTTCTCATCTACAGAATGATTCAACATTTTGAACTAGAACCTGAGGTGACTGTGTGCCAGAGACCCTTGGACAATTCTGGTTCAGCAGCCCATGGGAACATCAGTATGCTCCATGTGAAAAAGTTTCCGTAGTCTTTCCATTTATAGATGTGATAGACTGCCACTGTACTGAGCATTGTACTGAAAGGCCTAAGCCATATCAGTCCACAAGAAAAGTTATGTATGTTATGATACCAAAAAATGATGAAAATGTGAGATGTCTTTTAATCTTAAAACTTTCACTATATTATGAGAATCTTGCTTATTTGCAACATCTCTACTACATAATAGAACAAGCCACCTCTTGCTGCCCAAATCAGAAAGAAAATGTAATTGGCCGCCATCACTGTCAATCATCAAGATATAAGAGGAAGGCAGTTCACTTCAAAGGAAAGAAGCAATGACCACACCCTGTCCATTGAGCTCTTCCATGGACGAAAGTTTTGTCCAATCCTCCTAAGAGGGAAGAGCAGAGAGACCTCCAGTTACACCCTGACCTTTGAAACATTTCAGGAAGTAAGATATGTTAAGCTAACACACTAATGTAGGTAGCATCTGATGTTATCTTAAATACAAATGAAAGAAATTACTTAAACACCTTTTTGACTGACGCCTGATACTTGAAATTTTGGATTTGTGAAGTTCTGAAATGTTCATTCACTGCCTTATAAAAAAGAAAACTACATTATAATTTGAAGCATGCCAAGGATGAGAGGCTTCCCTGCTTATGTGACCAAAAATATTTTCTAAATATTTTTCTAAAATAAATAACAAAATAATTTAATAAATAAATAATTTAATAATTTATAAAATACATAAAATAAATAAATAATAACATAAATAATTTATAAAATAAATTAAATAATTTAATAAATAAATAATTTAATAATTTATAAAATACATAAAATAAATAAATAATAACATAAATAATTTATAAAATAAATTAAATAATTTAATAAATAAATTAAATAAATAAATATTGTTTTAAAATATTCTGGCAAGATTGCTTCAATGAACAATGAATTTAAAATTTTAATGGGCAGCTGAGTAAAGGTAAGTTGTAATAAATAGCTTTTGTATTAAAAATGATTTAATGAATTGATAGTCTCTTCATTTCTCTACTCCCACCCCCTTCCCAATTTGGTGATTGAAGGATATTTTTAAATATTTAGAACTTAGACTTAGTGCTCCAAAATTTTCAAGGAGCAATGCATTTTGCCCTTTAATTTTAAAAGTTTGGGGCCTTCCCTAGGAGATATCTTAAAGCAAAATCATTATGACCCTCATGGGAACCACGATGCACCAGATGATAGCCAGGAAAATGTCCCCATATGAAATCACACAACAAGAGCCGTGTCTTCTGTTGCACTAAAGGCAAGCTTTAGTCATAGGCAAAGAGCCTGCACGTGATTATCTAACACACTGACAGTGAGAACTTTGAAGCTTCCCCTAAAAAATTGGATATCACCAAATCAACCCCCTCAGCCTGCAGAGGTGAAGTCATTCTCCCAAAGTCAAAGAATTTGGACCCAATCTTCTTATTCCCAGACCAGTGTTCAATTTCCATGACACCAAGTTGCCTCCCTTGTGTCTAAAACATTATGTATTTTTATTAATAAATGTATACATTTGCTAGATTTTTTCTAAGGCTTTGTTTATCAAATAATAACTTGAAAAAACTGGAGCTTGCAATAATGTACTTTGGGCTGCATTTCAGTTTGGTGGCTTCAGGGCAGTTGTTCTTGACTGAAGATTGATTTTTGCCACCGGGTTTGGGTTTTGTTTTGTTTTGTTGGTCGTATCTGAAGAAGTGTTTTGTTGTCTCAATGGGAGGGTTGCAATGCTGGTATCTAGTGAGGAGAGACCAGGGACACTCGTAAACCTCCTACGATGCACAGGACAGCCCCACACAACAAAGCAGTATCCTGCCCAAACTGTCAGTATTGCTGAGGTTGAGAGACCCTGCCTTAGTAGATCATTCTGAGTTTGAATCACAGATCTGCCCTCCACCAGCACATGGTTGGCATGGCAACCCCTCCACACAGGCATGGTAATAATGCAAGGTATCTGTAAATCCAGAAAGTATCTTCAAAAAGTTCACGGAAAGATTCGTAGTAACTTTTAATTCTATTTTCCACTAACCTTTCAAAGAACCCTTGTACCTCCTTCAGTGTTATAGTGGATTGAATTGTGTCCCCCCAAAACTCCCTGAAGCTTGAATTGTGTCCCCCAAGTTTTATGTATTGGAAACTTGGCCCCCACTGTGACTGTTAAGAGGGTGGGAAATCCTATTGTGGTAATTGAAAGGTGGAGCCTTGAAGAGATGATTGGAGTGTAGCACCATGCCATAGTGAATGGATTAAAAATGGTGGTCAGGGGCGTGGTTCTGAGGGCTTTAAAAGAAGAGGAGAGTCTGTCTTGCTCTCTCTTGCTCTCTCTGCTCTCTCTGCTCCCACCATCTTGCAATGTGAGACCCCCTGGGTCACTGTTGCCACCACCAGATGGACTTTGGACTTCCCAGCCTCAGAAACTGTAAGTGAGAAATGTTTTTCTTTATAAATCACCCAGTTTCAGGTATTGTGTCATAGCAACACAAAACGGACTAATACAAGTGTGTTACTGTGAGTATCAAATCAGATCATACTTGTAGGCTTATCCCAGAGGCTGGCAGTGATGAAGTTCTCAGCAGTTGATCATTACTATTGTCTCCTCAATGTGAGGTACGCTGTGTACTGGACTGTAAAACACTCTAGTTCTTGAAAAATGGCAGTCTTAGATTTGTAGTTTTTCCCTAGCAACGTATGTTCGCTGAGCTATCCAGAAAAAGAAAAGAATTATTCTAGCTTAAATTATCCACAAATAATCTTCAACAAGTATCAAGGTATGACAGTTTACAGCAGGAACCAGCTTCCTTTAGCACTCACTTCTGAACTAAACAAATGGGAAGAGCCAGGGGTGGGGTTGGAGTGGGCAGAAAGGATGGCATCAAAGCCTCTGTTTGCAGTCTGGACTTGGTATCTCACCTGATATTGAGCTACTGAATTTCCAGGAAAAATTCCTGAGAGAAGGGAGGGTAATCTTAACCATTTCACCTCCCTGTACAGTCTGGCTCAGAGCTGTGTGCAAGGGTGCATTAATAAGCATTTTCTGAAGGTAGTGGTGGACAATGTGATGGCCATTCAGGTAGGCTGCTATTATCTGGAATGTACTATTATGTCATCTGTGCCCAGGTAACCAGTGCTTAAACTATGATGTCATTGGTAACTCATTCTAGCTCCTATCTCACCCACGTGTACCAGGCAGTGGTCCTCAAACATTAATGTGCACTTAGAGAGCTTCTTTAAACACAGATTGCTGGGCCCTACACCCACAGTTTCTCATTCAGTAGATCGGGGGTGGGGCTCAGGCATTCGCATTTCTAACAAGTTCTCCAGGTGATGCTGATGCTGCTTGTCTGCAAAGCACACTTTGAGGACACTGTACTAAGGAAAGGAATCAAAGCTGCGGTTCTAGGAATATTCCTGCTGCCTCCTGGCTCAAAACCAAGTGCTGTAAACTGTGCTTTCTTCACCCCTGGAAAGAGATCGTGGAGATGGGTGACGAGGTGACACCTGGTGCCTTCACAATGCCCTTCATTGACATGAGCACCATTGCAGTGAAATATTCACTAGGAGAAAACAATTTGCCCAGATAATTGATTGCAAAAGCTGAGGCTGACCTTATCAATCTGAGAAACACAGGTATCTCGAGCACCCAAACGGACCAGAGCCAGAGCAGAGAAGAGGCTCAGAGAGGAAAAGAACATGTTTCCATTCCCCTGATTGTTATCCATCTCTCGGAACAGGTTGAAGCAAAATTCTGTATTTGCCGCAGCAAGGGAGGCCATTGTGAAATGGAGTGCCACCTAGGAAACAATGAGAAAATAAAATTAGTTCTGAGTACATTTTCTATGAATATTACGGGTTTTATATTCATGAATTTTTTAACTCAAAGCTTCATTTCTTTAGCCTTGGATGTAACCATCAAATAATAACCAAAAAGAAGAATTCCTTTGGCCAGCATCCTTGTTACTAACACTCTAAAACTATCTTTTCAGGAAAAAATATTATAATACACTCTTCTCACATTGATATCTTTAGCATAACCTGCACTCTCGTATTCATACCTGGGGCACATTCCTGACCCTCCTTGATGTGGCATTTCTATCCTTAGCAGCCTTTAAGTGACCTGCTACTATTTATTACATCACTCTAGATTTCTAAACTGAAATATAGAGCAAAAGCATGGTTTAAAGTAAATATTACAACATTAGACAGTTTATTCAAGGTGTTATAGTCTTGGTTATAGTCTTTGCTTTCTAATTCATCTGTAATTTAATAAAATGTTAACATTTGAAGGTTTAACAAATCATTTCCTTTCCTTTTCTCTATTATGGCCTCTGTACACATTCTTAGAGCTATCATACACCTAATTCTTTCAAGACTATCCTAATTTCAAATATTATGCATCCTCAGTCCCATAAGTGTCTTTATTTTTAAGACGATTTAAAAAATTTTTTTAATGCAAAATGTGATTATCATAGCATGTATTACGAACATGCATAGACTTTCCAACCCATAGGTCTACCTCTTGTTAGAGAACCAGGTATTGTAGCAAATTTAGTACCAAGGATGAAAATGAGATTATCTTTGCATTTTTGATAGTGTCATTTCTGACATATACAGGGATGCCACCACCATGAAATTCTTCAGGGATCCACTTTGGTATTTCTCTGATGACTTTCTTCATAACTCAAACCAATACCAAAACAACAATTGGGATTGTCTCAGACTAAATAATTTTATGTGTATTCTGCTTGAATACTATTGCCCTTGAATATTCTATGACATTATATCTGATGGTGTGGCCAGTCTAAGAGTCACAGACCCTTAGAAGACTCAGTCCTAGTCCCAACCCTGTTACTGATGGTTGCATGACTTGGGTCAAGTCTTTAATTTCTCCGAGCTTCTAAATTTTATCTTATTCAGTGAGATGATCTATTGACATGAGCTAACATAGTGATTTTCAATGGAAAGTCACATACCCTTCTACCTTTCATCCCATAAGAGGAGCACTGTAATACCGGGGTATCTTGGGAGTGGGGTTATGGTATGTAAGAGGAAGACAGTCACAAGGAGGGAGATACATGTAGTCTGAAAAAAAGAATATTTTTAAATTGCTGGTGTGTTGATTTTTTGTAGTGGCAAATTTTTAATGCCTCTTAAAATTACAAATGAGATTAAAGTAAGTTTTTCAAATTTTATTTTAACAAATGGAGCTTGAGTTGAAAAATAAAGAAAAAACTGTTCTAGTATAATGCCTGACCTATAGTAGACATCCAGTGAATTAAAGCTGCTACATTCATTGTTGTCTGTAAAATGTTCTCAGACAACAAGAGTGTTCCTGAGGAACCTGTACTCTGAACTTTGGAATTCCAGGCCCAGAGAATATCACTGAGGCATGAGGCCATAAATAATGCTGTTTTTCAGAGTCAAATTCAGCTATTTGCAATTTATTATAAGTTCCATTTTTCAGTTACTGCTCCTCCCCCCACCCCCGGCACCAGGAACATCACGGGGAGGTAACTACACACGCTTTACTCTAAGAAAAAACATCTACATTCTTTTAAAAGTTATCCAGAAAAAAGTTAAATTGATTTATATTTAATCCAAGTAATCCAGGAAAAGAGCAGTGGCATCTGTGATTGGAGCTATAGGAGAAGCCCCCTGTAGCAAAGAAGAGAAGGAACAACAAAAATTGGGGTGGGCACAGGATGGGGGTTGGCACAGGAGAGCAGCTTTATTTATAGTGAGTGATACTGGCAGTGCTTAAGGCCTCTCAACTTTTCAGGGACTCAAATCATATTTTAGACCTGAAAAATAAGTATCGCTTCCAAAATATGAAAAAATAAGGTCAAAATTAACTTGTATACAATTAAATGTATGAAAATGAAACATACATTGATTTCTATATTAAACTTAATAGTTATAAGAATTTCTTTAATTTTGGGGGGAAATTGCACATTAGATTCTCTCTCTTTAGGGCCGGCCCAGTGGCGCACTGGATGGTGCGCCGCTTGAGAAGCGCGGCGGCGCTCCCGCCGAGGGTTCGGATCCCACATGCGGACTGGTTCACGCTCACTGGCTGAGCGAGGCGCGGGAGCAGCACCGGGGGTTGCGATCCCATTGCCGGTCCCGGTCCGGTACGGGGGCAACACTGAGGGTTGCGATCCGTTGCCGGACACGGAAAAAAAGACAAAAAAAAAAAAAAAAGATTCTCTCTCTTTAAAAGACTGTCCAACACTTCATGTTGATTGCTGAAAATCATTAACAATAGTAAACAACATGGATCATTCTTAGAAAAGTAACTTCAAAACAAAATCAAAATAATCCTTTCCAAACATTTATAGTGAATCCTGTTTAATAGAAGTCAATGGGTATATTTTAATATATTGATAAAATGTGGGCTAGAGCCTTTAAAATAATACCTGAAAGACTCTTAAATTACTGTTTGAGGACCTGCCTGCACAGTCCAATGGAAGTCTAGATGCTACCTGCTTGTATCATGTACCAAAGTGTAAAACACACTTTCTGTGTTTTGAAACAAAAAAACACATTTTATATGATCAAGCCCCAATTCTTCTTGTTGCTTTATAAATTATGTCTTACTATTTTATCCCTTGGGGTTAAAAAAACATTTTTTATATTTTTGAATATTATTCTTTAATTACCTTCAAAGCAATAATCATAGATTTTCACATTCTAAACTTTTAGTGATCCTGGTAACTTTCCATGAAACTATTATCACATTGAAGAGAATGGAAGCTACATAGGAATATATTTATTCAGGAGATAGGGTACATGATTTTTTGGCTTGGGCACATTTTGTGGCAGACAAACTATACTGGATTTAAAAAATCATTACAGAGAAACATAAGCCAAGACATTCCAAGACAATTATATGCTCTCAAGTCATAACTTTTCAAATGATAGATGGTACTAAATAGTGTATTCCTAAATATTCTTGGACAGATGTGTTCACACATGTTGAAAACAAATACCAAAAAGTATGTTCCATTTAACATAATTGTTTTTATTATCTTTCTCTATGCAGGTGCACTGTAGGTTCCAGAAATGAAAGCAAGATTTTTTCCTTCTCATCTGATATAAAGTCTGAATCCCAATGACAAATAAATAATTATATTTAAGGCTGAATTAATTGTTTTACAGCCCAATGTTCCATCAGGTAACAGATGAATAAAAATTAGCATGAAACCAAACCTGGGATTTTTCTTTCTCCTCTAGTTACTTTCACAGAAACTTAAAAATAAATAAATAAAACATTAACAAAAGTAAACTAAATTCACACAAACCACCACCAAGTATCAAATAACTTGGGTCCCAATTAGTAACTAAGGAAACCAAAAAGGACAATAAATTATGTAAAAGTTACAGAAGATGTGCCACTTCCCTGTATGCCATTGTCCAGACATAGCAATGAAGGAAAATTCTTACCAACTTATAAAAAATCTTGGCTATAGAGAATAGCTTTTTATTTCACTAAAAACATACCGTATCTTATGTTTCTTACATAAATTTGTAGCATAATATACAAGTATGTAATTAACTTATAATTTTCTAGTTAACACAAATTAGCAAATACTCGTGAAGGTTTTTAAATCCCAAACCTCAGATCTGAATTCTAAAAGTCCATGGCAGCCTGATTACTTATGATATATTTCAATCTGAGATTATTTATGGTGTATTTCAATCTGAAAATTATTTTTTCCCTTCCTTTCAAAAATCAATATACTATTTGTGTCAAAAAAAGATGTTTTCACCAAAGCTTTTTTTAAAAGGTCTAATAAAAAACACAAGAAAAACAATTTCTAAAATAAAGCATGAGAAAAAACAGACACAAAACATATTCAATAAAACATTAAATTACAATTATATTTCATGGACCTAAACTTATTAGATATAACTGATGAATTATATGCCTTATATGCTTGACAAAAATATTATCTAATCTCAGGAAATTTTGACTGTCTAGAGAAAATTAATCATAAGGTATATTATTGAAAGACAGCTTTCATATTTACTGAATTAAAATATACATGTTGGAGGGAAATTAATTACTACTGAACATGCTTAATTTTATTCTTATCAATAAGTGAAATGTGATGCTATAAATATGGTTACTACTCTACAGAAGTATTTCCAAAGCTTTCCATTTCTTTTAAAAACATGGTTTCAAATTTTGATAAATTTCTAATCAGTTGAGTACCTTGCTATGTGATTAAAACAGAGTTCAACTCTAATCTCAAAAATTAGTATCCAATTTATAATGCCTTAAGTAAGAACACCGGAAATATGGAATCTAGATTTGTACATAATTCCCTATTTATCCATTCAAAGATGCAATATAAAGTTTTTGAATGATATCTATCTTCTGCACTGTGGTGCATGCCATTCTCCCATGACACCATGTAATCAGTCATAGACAAGCCATAAGGCAGTGGAGCAGAGAACAGGACCAGGCAACAATTTGGATATTGTTTGATGAGTTTAGTGTCACGGACACAGAGAAGCAGCCAAGATTCATTCATCGCCCACCACCCTTCACTTTCTCTCTCTTGCGATACATCTGGCCAGACTTTAAATTGTGGACTTCAGAAATATTTACCTTACTGTCTTCATAGAGGAAGTTAGCAGCTGGTTGGGTGAGTCTGAAAGAGTTCCTTGCATACGCTGAAATATAAAGCCTCTGACTCAGACACTCCCTACTTGCTTTTGTGATGACCATGATAGTTTTAAATAATGTCATTAAAATGAAATTATGTTCAGG